TACATCTACTCTCTCTTTTTTCTTAAAGGATGATATTCAGTATTATAAGACCTGACATAAAACTTTTTCCCTTAATACAAATAATTCACAAAAAGTAAAAAGTTTTCATTGAATTTATCAATAAAATTTTTTACTTTTCACAAGTTCGCATTAGGAGAAAAGATACATATGATGTCAACATACTAAGAGCTTTGCAGTTTGCTTCTTTCCAAAAATCATGTGCGGTATAACCACAAAGATTGGTCAGATTTTTATTTCATCTCAGTCAATTATTTATATTTTGCAATTGCTATTTTAAAAAGAAAATCAAAATATGAAAATGAAAAAAAATATAAAATATATGTTTAATACAGTTTAACATAGTATTTAAAAGCATTGAGGTTTGAATGGATTTGAAATCAAAATGTCATTTCTAATAAAATTTTATTTTTATATTAGTGTTAAAAACTTGTTAAATTCTTAATTGTTTATTGGAAATCATCAAATTTTATTAAATAATAAAATATAAGTAATAATATTGTATTTATCGATTCGAATCCTGTTACTTGGCTAAGGTCAATGAACTTCTGTAAGTACATTATACCCACATGAGGCCTAAACAAACAACAAAATCAATCTTGAATCTGTAATCGTGAAATACGCGCAGTGCTTTAAAAAATAATTTTTTATTGAATACGTTAATGTTGTTTAATGAATTTAATAATGATTTATGTAATAACATCATATAAAATATTCTACTATTTCATCTACAATTTATTTTGATATAATTGATATTTCTTCTAATAAAAGAATTTCTAAACTGTAAAACATAAATGAAAATTACTAATAATTTTATTTATCTTCATTTAATAAAAATACAAATAAAATATCAAAAATATTTGTTACATATAATAATTAGGCATAAGAAACAAATATGTAAAATAATATTATATATAAATTTATTTTTATTTTGTAAATTCTAGCTAAATAATTGTGTCGATAATTAAGATTGATAATGGCTGTCACGATGATTTTCGTTCCTAAAATGTCAACAATTTTTTATTTTGGAATTTGATGATTATTCAACAACTTTTTTATATATATTTTATAAATTAATCTGATTAACTTAATTGGAATTCGAAATTATTTAACACTCGTATACATTACAATCTAAACTTGCATGTAATTTAATTAAAATAAAAAAAAGATAAAAATTTCTTTTGATTCTTAATATATTCAATTCATAATGTAAACTTGACACTGTAATTGATGAAATTATTGCGGAAGATGGCGCCACTGATAGAAAAACCTGTCGAACTTATTGTGCTTCTACACACAACATTTGAAAAGAAATCTAACGATAATCATTAATTTAATAATTAATGTAATTCTTATAAATATTTATTGTTCAATTAAGAATGGTTTTTTTATGTAAGAGAAATTAATTCTCAAACTATATAAATTCTAAAATCTCGTACAAATTTTAAGCTATTCATATTTTGTATTAGATATATTTAGAATTTTAACAAATAAAAGCGAAACACTTAAATATATATTTATCTTTACAATGATTTATGATATAAACATTTTTTATTTTCTGTTTAAATTCTGTTGAAATTCTGTTTAAATATTTTTATAACTTTTTAAAATTTTACACATACAAAACTATAATCTGATTTTGTTTGTTCACAATACCTAGATAAAATGATAGAGATTTAGAAAATATATAAATTATGTTATATAATTATATTATTATAATAATATATATTATATAATATTTTTTCAATATCTTTATTATGCAATACATAACTCTATAAATAACGCTCACACAACATTAAAAAAAAATAAATTTTTAGGGTAAGAAAGAAGAATTATATCAATCCAAAATTAATAACTTCGAATTTATCTTAAATATCACATTTCACTCAAGATGAATTTATACAATAAAATTACGTGGATCAAGCATAATGTTAATTTCTTAATGCGAAAACGCTTAAATATATATAAGATATTTGAAAATGTTTATTGCGTTTGTTATTCTTCTGATTAATCAGAAGTCAATTCGAATTAATTTCTTAACGAGTTTGATTCTTAATGAATATATGAATATATAAAACATTAATAAGTTACACATATGATAGAAAATGTCTATTTAGATGACAGATAAAGATACTTTGAAAAGCCTTTGATTATAAAATCGTAAATATTATTAAATATCAGTGTCAATAATAAATTGTTAATATCCAAAGTAGGAAGACGTTTGCATCGAAAGTGGATTCATGATTTGCGTCCCAATCAATGATTTGGTCTCATTCGCTAAAAGACGGACTGTTTAGGGTACGAGGCTACGAAGGGCACACGAAATAGGATGGAGGACGGAGAGAGGGTGAAACTCGGTGAAAGAGGTGGACAGATCCGGGGGATGAAGGCGCTATCGGCCGTGAATAATGCGCGGTGGCGTACGCGTCCCATCTCGTGCATGCTCGTGCGTTCGATTCGGCGACTCGGCGACTCGGCTGGATGGATTGATAAAGATTAAAGGTAAAGGGAGGTGGCAGGGTCCAGGGGTGTTTTGGAGTTAGGCGACAGAAGTCAGCCAGCGAAACGAAGCGGGTGCTCGCTCGTGGGGGATGATGTCACATAGGGGTTTCCCCCCCGTCCGTTCCTCCGTCGTCCACCCCCTTCTCTCCTTTTCCCCAAGCGTAAATACATACAGATGCAGGCTGGATTGATGCATTGACCAGGCGCAGTGACGTAGGTATCTCACGTAACGCGACAAATTCTTTTCTTCTTCACTTCATTGCTCGTGTCGACAATTTCCCTTGTCATGAATCCGATCGATTAGAGAGATCCTCTGTGACTTTAATATAGAACTGATCGATTGACCTCCTGAACTACTTTCCTAAATTGTCGAAATACTTTAAACATTCAGTTTTAAACATTCAGTTTTCTAAAATAATTTTCATAATAATTTTATCTAAAATTAATTTCGATTTATTATTGTTGCTCTTTTTGTTTTCCAGAAACTTTATATATTTAAGAAATATTATTAACATTTCAAATATATATTATTTAAAAGATTACTCAGATAAGCTCAAAAAATTAAAAATACGATTATATTATATCAAAAACAAGTTTGTTTCATGTTTGCTAATGATTTGATAAGTAAAATTACAATGTTTTTTAAATAGCTACAATGTAGATAAAAAAAAGATTATCATTTGTGTATATTTTTCTCTTTATATTTTTAAAATTAATGTTTCTTTAAATATCGTTTCCTTTTTTTTCTTTTCTTTTATGTTTTAAATACATTTATCATTCGAATTAGTGTATCTCACGTTTGATAACAACTGCGTATCTGGTGAACCAAAGCAAACAGTACGCCTTTTCTGTCTCAATGATCAATGTATGACGTTATCTTTATAAAAACACGCTACTACATGAGACATAAATTTTTATACAATATACATGTCAATCGTATCGGAATAATTCGCGCCGTAGATCATTTTTAAATACCGTAGTTTTCGATTTTTAATAGCTATTGTTACCGTGCAAAGACATATTTTTATTCCCATAAATGTTATAAATAGGTGCATTTTTATTACCATAAATGTTATAAATAACATATCGAGTAAATGCATACAAAAAATGGAATAATTAACGTTCAGTGCAGATAATTACTTACGATTGTCTTAAGCGGCAGTCAAACATAATCGATTACTAATTGTAACCAAACAAATTAGTTTTAACAAAGTGACGACTCTTGATTTTCTGTCCAGCTAAAAAAATGTTAAAAATGAACTTCGACCAAACTCCGATTTAATGATGATTATTAAATCATTAAAATACCATGATTCTTCGGAAGAGAAAGACAAGATGTCCTCAAAGAAGACATTCTACGCCAATGCGAGCGGAGCTTCGTTCGCCTCGGTATGACTCACGCGATCTCTCTCGCAGCTTCCCCTGCACGGTCCCGTATCGTAGCCGTGCACAATGGAGAATAGCAAATGCAGTAAAGGTAACTCACGTTCGCCATGGCCGGGGCCAGTAATACTAGTCCGAGTTCTCCCCTAGTTCTTCCTGGAGTACCCGCGGGCCACGTGGCACGATTTTCACCCCCGTCGCCATATCCTTCCAGTAGCGATCGTGGCAACGATCTCTGGTCGTCGTGAGATATATATGTATTATATCGTTTCCATGCGATCGCGGTCGG